TTCACAAAGGAGTTCATGTGTATTGCTTTCTTTGATCCTCATAACCTTTGAAGTATCTGCTATTAATTACCCCAACTTTGTTGATGAGAAAATTGAAGTTAATAATTTGAAAGACATGCCTGAGTTCTCAAAGCTAGAAAGAAATTTCATGTTAAAAAAATTGTACACTTGCAGATAATTGGGTATTAATCACAGGCTTGAGGTTATGGCCCTTCCATTAGCTCATCTTTGCTTCATGTTAATCACCTAGAATTAACTGTTTAAAGGTTACAACTGTCATTTGTGCTATTCAAGTACTTCTGACCCTCTGTCTACCATGGTATGATTTTTGCCTCATGACACCCTTTAGGTTGAGTGAAACAACATGATCTGTTCTGGCCAAACAGTTAAGAAAAAAAAATAAACATAAAACAAAACAAAAACAAATGAGTCACTTCTGGGCCAGAGAGATGGGATAGAAAGTAAAAATTTTGCAAGTGGATTATTAGGGGTAACAGTAAGAGGTGTCTCTTTCACTTCCACTCCTTGATTCCTGGGACACGTTTTCTACTTATGGGGGAGGCAAACAATATAATATATTCTGATGCAAAGTACATAATCTGGACTGAACCCCATTATTTCAGGATGTTTTCTATCAAATGGCACTATGACAATCTTCAGTAAGCCAGTCCACATTTCAGTTAAGCCAGTTATTTCCAGATTATTAATATTTGGTAAGAACAGTTTATTCATGCATGTAAGCCCATAATGACTTTCTCTGTTGCAAACTATGATCAGATGTAATGCTAATGAATTTCATGATGGTGAATAAGACATTCTGTGAGTACACTGATGGTGGTGTTGGCAGGAAAGGTGAATTCATATCCAGAATACATGCATTTCAGTGAAGAGGAAGCTACCTAGTCCTAGAGTACAGAGGTTTAATGTAATTGGCCTGCCACCAGATGCTTAGCTTGCCTCTTACACACCAGGAATATTATTATATTGAGTGTTCATTGTTGTTCTGTGCTATTGGTAGATTAGGTACACAAAAGAACTACTGGCCAGGTCAGCTTTGGTGAAAGAATATCCACATTATTAAGCCAAAGCCTAGACTCCATTCCTGCCATCACAACCACTTAGTTCATGAGTCCAGTATGCAATGAATTTGATGGGTAAGGAGAAAGTGCGAAATTATGGTTTGGATATGAGGTGTCCTCAAAAGCTCATGTGTGAGACAATGTAAGAAGGTTTAGAGGACAAATGATTGGGTTATAAGAGCCTTAACCCAATAAGTGAATTATTCCCTTGATGAGATTAACTGAGTGGTCACTGAAGGCAGGTAGGGTGTGGCTGGAGGAGGTGGGTCATTGGGGGCATGCCTTTGGAGAACATATCTTGTATTTGGTGAGTGGAGTCTCTCTGCTTCCCTCCACAACACTCTTCCACCATGATATTCTGCCTCACCTGAAGCACTGAGGAATGGAGCTGACCTTCTATGGACTGAAAAAACTTTTCCTCCCCTAAAATTGCTCTTATCAGGGTTTTTAGACACAACAGCAAAAAAGTTGACTAATACAGTGCATAATTCTGCCTACTTACTTGATCATTAAGAGTCACCACTGCAGTATTGGCCCTCTGGTGGGTCTTTCACATTTATAAACATCTGTAATCATTATGAAAAATCCATCCATATACTTTTCTCAGTTCCCTTTCCACCAGTTACCCAATACTGTTCCTTCCAAGTCCTTGACCATCCAACCCAACCATATGCAACTACTCATTACTTAATACAAATCTGTATTTTTGGCCATTTTTTTCAGACATAAAGAATGAGAAGTTAATACTCCATTTATGTATTATATGTCAAAATGCAGTCTACCATCATGTGTCATGTATAACTAATGAGAACAAATTAAAAAAATAAAAAAGAAATGTCTCCTGAAAAGCTCATATTTGAAAGCATGATACCAAGTGCAGGAAGATTCAGAGATGGGTCTTTTAGGCAATGATGAGAGCTGTACTATCTTGAGGAGATGCATACATTTGGAGGATTGATAATTTGAATTAGTACTGGTTGGTAACTATAGGCAGTTGGAATGTGACTGGAGAAGTAGGTCACTGGAGGCATGCCTTTGAGGACTATATCTTATCCCTGATTCTTTTTTTCACTCATTTTTTTTTTTTTTTGGTATTGGGGATTGAACTCAGGGGCACTCAATTCCTGAGGCACATTCCCAGCTCCATTTTGTATTTTATTTAGAGACAGGATCTCACTGAGTTGCTTAGCACCTCACTTTTTGCTGAGGCTGGCTTTGAACTTGGCAATCCTCCTGTCTCAGCCTCCAAAGCCGTTGGGACTACAGGCTGCACCACCATGCCTGGCCTCTTTCACTCTTTGCTTCCTTGTTGTCATAAGCTGAGCAACTTTACCATGTTCTTCCTCCAATGGAGTCAGCTGAGAATGGACTGAATCTCTGAAACCATGAATCCCAAAAAACTTTTTCTCTTCTAAGTCACTTTTGTCAGGCATTTTTTTTAACAGTGATAAAAAACTGACTAATATATACAACGTATAACCAAATGTCATGTTGAAAATTCTGGGTACTGAAAGGATTTTTTTTCACCACTATCCTTCAGGTCTACCCTTGATCGGAGCTGTGGTGATGCAACTCCTTACCTTCAGATAGTACTAGCATATGGTAAAGAATAATGGTCAGAATTAGAGTCCAAGAAACAAGGGAAAGGGCTGGGTATAGCCCCTTTTAGTATTATACCTGCATTTGAAGTTTTGGACCTTGCCTATTTATAAAATTTAGTATCCAAACAAGAATTCTTCCATTCATCCAGCGATAGTCCTAATTAATGTGAAGTTAAGATTATAGGAGTTATGCATATTAGAGTTGAAGTTGTATCAATAATGAATAGGTTTGGTTGGGGTTTTCTTCCTCTAGGGAGCTGTAGTCTGTGCACCCAGATGATTGAGGTTTAACCATACTACATGTATAGGGAGTGGCAGGACAAGGGGAGGTATGTGAAGAAAGATTAGATTGCCAAATGGGTGAATTATAAGTAGGAATTTTTTTCTCTCTTCTACCCTTCCCTTTTTCTTCCTCTCCCTTCCCCTGCAATTCCTCTTAACTGACCAGCATCAATATGCCCTCACTGTTTACAAAATTCTCTGCCTTAGGAATCTTATTGGTACCTGGCCAACTGGGCCAAGTCTATAAAACCTCTAAGGTTTTAAAACTAGGATTATCAACACAGAGAAAGAACTGTGGACACATTATTTTTTTTAATGACAGTTATAAAATGGGAGTTCTCAGAAGCAGTGTAGTCCTGTTGTCAGGGACATCACTGGACTCCAGTGATATCAGGGTCAGTGGCACTACGTGAAGTGGCATGGCATTTAGTATCAGGTAGTGATGGCAACAGTGTCTTGCAGGAGCGGTCCTGTGCATGGTTTTGACCGTGATCTGAACTGTGTAGTCTTGGTTTGTTCTGCCTATTTTCTCAGCCTGTTCTCTATGCTCCCTGGGCAATTATGGTGAGTCACAGTATCATTAAGAATTTCCTGGTTCAGAGATTGCAATTAGGAAATGTTAAATTTTCCTCACTAACCACAATGAGCTTAGAGAGGGACAAATAAAGTCTTATATTTCTGTAGACTTCAGCAGAGAGCCTTTTTGAGTGAGTACATCTGAACAGGCATATCATGATCTCTATTCTAAAAATGTTATTGTTTTCTAAAGAATATAAAACACATGCATGAAGCAAACACAATCTATATAGTGCAATAAATTAAAAGAGACTGTCATTTGGAAAGTCTGAAAGAGATGGGACTATAGTTAATTCCTGAAAGATAAGCAGGAGATAACGTTTTGGGTAAAGGAATCATAAAGCTCAGTAAACTTAACTGACAATGACCAACCTGTCCAAAATCAGTGAAAGGTATATTTGACTGGATAAGAAGGGATATATTGAGACTAGCGTCAGAAACAAAAATCAGAAATAAAAAAATATTCTCTATTTCTATAAATAGAAAATGCTTACATATATCTTTGGTTTCCTTAAAAATTTAAATAAGGCCTACAGAAGAGGCCAGGCTTAGGGGAATAAAGAATAAAATCTGAAGATCATTCAAAAACCTATCAAAGCAATTTGCTTTCAGTTTTCCATGATTTTTGTAATTTTTAAATATAATAAACAGTGAACTAGCGGCTAAATAACTACAGCTTTGCACTGGCAACGCAAGGACTGCAGATAATTTCTTTCTAGTCCTGCTAGTTGTCCTTGGCACTAATATTCTTGCTCATTAACTTCAGGAAGACTTCCAGGAGTAAAGATACATTGGAAAGCAGCTGAAAATAGATCTGAAATCTCAACTTCCCTGGCCTGACCATGAAATAACCACAAAGTTCTGTTACTGGGTCAAAAATCAATGACAAGAATAGGGGAGGTTTTCAAGTCTTCTATTTTTGCATCAGCCTTTAGTAATGATGGACTCCAAAATCACAACCAAGGAGAAAGGCAACCTTTAAGGGCAGGAAATACAATATTGGTTTTTGTCTTTTGGCGGGTTGGGTCGGCTGCCTTCCAGCCCGCTGTGGATCCCGTGAACCCAACTGTTCCCTCCCAAGCTGCTTCCCAGACCCTGTCACCTCAAAAACCTTTCCTTCGCGGTCCCTGAGCTGCGTCAGTGCCCGCCCGCAACTCTCCAGTCCCCCTTCCTCAGCGGGCAGCCATCCTTCTCCCACCCTCGCCGGGTTCCGGGCCCCCCACTCTCGCTCCTCTAGGCGACCCCAGGCCAGGTGGGGATGCACCCCAGGCCGCGGCGGCCCTTCCCGGCCCCGCGCTCGTCCCGGCAGTTCCGCGTCTGCGCAGCGGGCGAGGGGCTGGAGCGGGGCCGGCCGGGGAGGCGCAGGATGCGCGGGAGCCAATGGGCACGCTCGGGGGAGCCGGGCAGGCGGCGGCGGCCTGTCGGGCGCGCACTCTCGGGATGGAGGGCGAGCACCCGGCATCTCAGGCGCGCTCCTCGGACCTCCGGTCCGGGGGCGGGGGCGGGGGCGGGGGCGCGGAGAGCCCTGGGGGCGGCGCCCCCTTCGCGGGCAGCAGTGGATCCTCCACCTTGCTGCAGGCCGACGTGCTCGATTTGGAGGAGGACGAGGATGACCTGGAGGTGTTCAGTAAGGTGAGGGCGCGGCGGCGGCGCGTCCCGGGAAAGTTCCAAAGCAACTCTGGGAGTTGCCACCGTTGATCCGGCGGCCACCTGGAACGCGCCCGGCCTCTCCCGGCAGAGCCTGGGAGCTGGAGGTGGGGGAGGTCTCCTTAAACCGCCGGACCCCGGCTGCAGCGGTCCCGGCTCTCAGGGCTGCGCCCTGGCGGGGTTCCGAACCGGAGCCGCTCCCTCTTCTGCACTTTGACCTGCCACTGGGTAGGGCCTTGGCTTCACGAAGTCTGAACAAAGTTGTGATCCCCACCCCCGCTTTTTGATCTTTGTCTGCCAGGGACATCTCCTCCAGACAGCTGTCTGAACCCGGGAGGCGGGTAGCCTGAAACTGTCCCCGCTCCTGCCAGCTGCTTTTCGGGCGCGGCCAGCTCTGAACTCGGGGAGGGAGATCACCTGAGTTTAGGGAAATTTTTTTTTTATTTAGTGGTGTTGTTTTTGGATTTGAGAGTTGAGTGACACCCAAACTGAGCCTGGAATCCAGTGGGAGTAGGTGCAAGGATATCTCAACCGGAGAAAACGGTCGTGTGTCTAACAGGAAGCTCCTCAGCTGCGGAGCTTAGGGTATTTCAGAGTCAACTACTGCCATCCCAACCCACAGCCGGCAGCTTTCGTTTTCCCCTTCCACTTCCCGCTGGAGGAAATTGTAGGGCTAAAGGCTTTTCCTAACTTGTAATTGGAGGAAAGTCTTGTGGGGGTTAGTGGTAGACTTTTGGTGCGTGTAGACTAGTACTTGATATTTCTTAAAGGATTTGGAAAAGAAAAAAAAATAACTTTCTTTTAGAGTGATTGAAAGCCATTCTGGTTTCTCAAGTTGCTAATAGAAGACTTGAGTTCAGATCAGAACAATGTACTAATGACTAAGAAGCAATAGATAATTGTTACCCTGAGATGTTAGTTAAAGCAACTAACCTACTTAACCATTGTCTTTATTCTGGAAGAGAGAACAGTAGCTAGAAAGTGAACCAGCATAGTCTGGCTCCAAAGAGGAATATGTAAAACTCAGTTTTTTCTTGGTGTTAAATGGAATTGTAGGCCCACTTGCATTCTAGATACTCGGACACAGTCACAGTTTTATGCTCTTTTCTATTTAAATTGCAAAACAATGGAATTATGTTTAGTTGTAAAAGGTTAATATTGTCTTTTTATATTACTCACATAATTTATGTTCAAATCAATGACAATTGGCCAATTGGTTGATTTATTTTTAACCTTCCTTTTTTACATTGCTTTTTAAGTCTATGAGTATTAGTCTATGCCTATACATTGTTTAACTTCCAATATTGGGAAGGGGAATGTTGGGATTGGCAACTGTGTATCAGAATCACCTGGAACTGTTTTAAAACTTGTCAGGTAGTATCTCTTTCCCCAGATTCTCAGGATTCCAGCCAGCTTTTCAGGACCAGTTTTATTGGAGCACTATTGTCAGATGTGGATCTAAGGTGAAACTGATGAAATTTAAGATGCAGAGCTGTTCATCTGCAAGGCCTGTAGGAATATAGGGAATGGCTGAAGTTGTAGATAATTGGGTGGGAAGGAATTGATAGGTTGCAACCTGAAGCATTTTAAAGGAATCATTCCTGGTAAATTATCTGATGCACTCTCAGAAACTATATCCATGGCTCCAATTATTTTTTTGAGATTTTTTTTCTCATTCTAAATAAAAATGTATTTTTCCTCATAATTTTTATTAGTAATTTTGCATTTTCTTATTAAGGTATCTTTCCAAGCTGAGTATGGTGGTGTATGCTTGTAATCTCAGGGACTTGGGAGGATGAGGAAAGGAGGATTGAAGTTGGAGGCCAGCCTCAGCAACTTAAGTGAGACTCTGTCTCTAAATAAATAAGTAAATAAATAAAGGGTCAGTGTTAAAGTGCCCCTGAGTTTAATCCCCAGTACAAAAATAAATAAAATAAGGTATCCTTATAAATTGTGTAACCTTCAGTTCTCTGCACCTGGATCCACTGTTTATTAGGGTTGTATAATTGCATTTGCTGAGCACTTGGACAGTGTTAAGAAACAACCACTTCTAATAGAAACTGGCCATATAGATAAAAGTAAAGATATAATATTGGTTAAAGTCTAAAAAGAATCCATATTTGGAAAAATTTGAAATTAGCCACTGTATTATATTTCATAAAGTTAAAAATTTTAACCACTAGTTATAATTAGACAAGCAAATTTAAGAAAGTTTCTGACATTTTTCTTACTCTTTAAACTAATTCTCTGTTAACCTACTTCTCTGCAGAATTGTCTAGCCTACCCTAGGATAGTATCTCCCAATTACTCATGAAGCAGACTATCATTTTCCTTCAATATCTTAAGACTGGCTGTAATCACATCTGTTCCCTTAGATTGTTGTGAATATAGCTCAGTGGTAGAGCACTTGTCTAGCATGTGTGAGGCCCTGAGGTTGATCCCTAGCACGAGGGGTGGGGATGTTGAAAGGAATAGACTAGTAGGCTTAATTCCAATTCCCAACTAAGCCATAAAGTGAATTTAGTGTTTTTAATAAATACATTGGAAAGAAAGAGGTCTCAATAGAGGCTAACGTTTTACAAGAATAATGTAAAATTTAAGATATTCTGCTAAATCAGACTCTTTGAGCAAGGTTTTGAAAATAATTCATATTTTCACAGAAAAGGATACTTTTGAAAGAATGGTAGGTTATCATTATTGGGACATTCAGTTTTCCCTTTATTATAACATTTCTAGAAGTTCAAGGGCAGGGTTCTGGCATCAGCCGAGCTTTCAAGGTCTTAGGGGGAGGGAAGAAGGAAGCCAGAGAGGCTGAAGAGTGGCCAGTTTTGCTCTTTAATAACAGCCTTCTTGCAAGACCTAACTCAGTGTCCCATGAAAACATTTAATCCCTTTTGAGGATGGTATCCCTAGTGTCCTAAGAACCTCCCACTTGGGCCAACTCTTAATGATTCACCACCTACCACTATTGGACATGTGAACCCTTGGAGGAAAAGCTTATATCTTATTTGACTGTAGATACAAACCATACTGGTAGAGGGACCTAACTATGTTGTTCAAAAATTCTATCAAGTACTTTGAAGAAGATATGAGAAACCTACAGATTAATTTTTCACATTTGATTTCTCAATGTTTCATTTCTATGATATACCTGTATCAGTCATCACTCTGATAAACAGAATTCTCTCCAATGAGAGAATGTAAATGAGGTTTTAATCCAGGGTCTACTTATAGAGTTGTAGACAGGGTTGAGAACAAATAAGGGGTATTGAGGCACTTATAGTCTTGTAGTAACAAAAAGCCGTTAGGACCCCTAGCTCTAAAGTGACAAAGAATGGAAATACTGTTGCTGGAATTCAGTGGGAACTAGGGCTGTAGGGAAGAGGCCACTTCTGCAGAAACCATATTTACAGAGAGATGTGGCTATTGCCTCAGATTCCCTTGAGCGAATAGACAGCATATTCTCTGAGGTTCTCTCCTTTGCACTCCTTCCTCCTGTCTGTGCCCTGCACTGGTTGAGCTACTAAAGATATATCTTCCTCAGGGGTCAGACTCCTGGATGAGTGGAGGCCGATGGTTAAAACAAAGCATAACTAGTTTAGAACACGATAGCAAAGGGATGGCCACGTGCTCTTCTGTAATGTGACCTCCTTCTATCAAGAGGTAGGATCTGTGCTTCTCTCCTTGAATCTGGGGTGGAGTGGAGCCTTTGGGGGTGGAATTTAACTGTTTCTGTAAGTTCTGCTGACAGTGATGCTGTGCAGTTTCTAAGCCTAGATCCTAAAAGAAAACAGAGAATTCACTTTGTTCAGTAGGACACTGCTTTCTGAAGCTGCCACGTGAGAAATGCAACCTAAGCCCTCTGTGTTGTGAAGTTACGTTGAGATCATGTGTAAATGCTCTACCAGCAGCCCCATCCAAAGTCCTAGTCCCCGTCTGTCATTAACTTGAAGTCTGGCAGATGTTCATGATTACAGCCCCCAGCATCCAGGTACCCTCAGCCATCACATCTTCCCAGTTGAGGCCTCACATGTGGTGAAGAAGAAACAAGCCATTTCTGCTGTGTGCTACCAGAATTCAGAAAACCAGGGATTGTAATTAAATATAAAACACTGAAGTTGTTTTCTACCACTATGTTTAGGGATAGTTTGCTACGTAGCAGTAATAACTATAACAATAGCTAGTAGTCTGTATAACATAGTCAGCCTTCCAAATCTTTTTGTAATTTAGAATAGTGGGTTCAGGGGAAGACTGAAATTTAAGTGGGATAAATGTTAACTTCTGAAGAAGAAATCTGTTACTCATTATGAATAAAAATATAACAAAGATATAAGCTTAGTGGTTAGGAGCAGAGATTCTGTAGCTATATTGCCAATAGTTGAAATCCTGGCTCCACTGCTTGTTAGCTTTGTTTTTTTTTTTTTTTTTTTTTTTTTTTTAGGCAAATTATTTCATGTGAATGCCTCATATTTATCATTTGTAAAATGAGGATAAACAGTAAATATGAGGATTGAATGACTTACCAGATGTGTTCCTTTTCCCTGAAATTTACATCTTGATTCTGGCTCAGTGGCTTTTACCATTTTGATGGTTTAAAATGGTTGGGGGAGAAATCAATAAAACAAAATAAGGATGAGCTAGGACTATTAATATTATACCTCTTCTGGAAATTCCACTCAATGCCATCATAGTTCTCTTAGTATTAAGTACTCTTATATTTCTTTCTAAATGAAATAGAGAAAAGATAAAAAAAATCCTCAGATTTTCTCTTTGAATTAGCATATGTAATCAATGATAAAAATTAAAACATAAGGAAAATTCAGAATAAGTTTGAGAAGACCCTTCATAGGGTCATGATCATATTATGTTTAAATATTCCTTGTGGTTTTTTAGTACATGAAAAATCAACATGTACAAATACATGATGTTGAATCTAAACAAACACTATTGTTTTCAAGGTCACATGGTGTATTAATTGTACTGTA